AATGAACACAGGCTGATCTTCCCCCCTTCATAAAATCTGTGCTCTGTACAAGGACACTCCGGGCCACCCTCACTGAGCATCCTCCCGCCCTCTCCCAGAAAATACAGCTGTGTCATCTTAGAGACATTTTTAATGTCATCTGCTTATGATGTGCAGATTGAGAAGCAGACAATTTTGTTCTGCTCTGGCATGAAAAAACAAAACGTTTCAGTCGGCAGCTAGGATATCAACATGAAGCAACACACAGGACATCAAATTTCATCATGCAAAATATGGGTGTATTCTATTACAGGGGCCAAGCATTCCAAGGAAAAGTAATGGTCTAAGAAGATGCTCTTGCATTTTAAAAGTATCTACTAGTGTTATACAGTCATTAATGTGTAATTTCCATTTCAATAATAGGAAGCCTTCTGGAAAAAAAAGCCTGTGTTGCTTCTTAAATCTAGAAACACATTCCCAAAATTCAAACACAACAAAATCCAGAGGCATATTAATAAAAATTTTAAACTCCTAACTGCAGTCAGTTTTTAATTGGGCATTTATGTATCTCTTCCACATAATTATATTTATAATGAAAAATGTTGCAAATATTGGATTAGCTGTATTTGTACCTACAACATATTTTTCTAAACAGTATTAATTTAATTGATAGACTTTTAAAAAGTTACAGTAGTTTGTTCTATCATATATGCACATTAAATAATCATTTATTTTAGAAAATCCTCCCTCATCAAATGAACATTTAGGAAAGAGACTGATCCATATTTTTAACAAGAATAATAAACACTCAAGTAGAAAGCCTTTATAATTTCCAAGGGGCTGATCAATTCCATTAACACATCCTGATACTTTAAATGTTTGCAATGCTGCACATAGCAAATGATCCAAACAGCAGTTACATTCTCTCATGTAAGTCATTCTGTTGCACATACACAGACTTAGCAAGTTACAAAACTCTTGTGAAATTTCAGTTGAAACATTAGCAAATAAATTTGCTGGTAAAGTGCAAGAAGTCTCCTTATAAATCCTAGATGAGGAAAAGTCTGTCCACAGTTCATTCATCAGAAGAATGGAATTTCTCAAATGAGCTACTGAACAACATTATCTAATAAAATGAAATATAACGAAACGGTGCCACTCATTTTAAAGATTAAATATATCCTTTGACAGAAACCTGTGAAGTTAAAAATCTTTCCCTCTTAAAATACCTTTTAAATTAAAGCTATTCTAACTAGTTATATAGCATTCCACTTCATCTGCTTAGTTTTTAGATTGAGTTCACCTAAATACAAAATACTATCAAACACCTACAGGGCAAATAACTAAAAAAGAAAGACAATTTCACAAGCAATAAAATGCTATCCACCTTTCTCCTCCCATACTTGCCTCTCCTATATGAAACAAAGAAAAGAATGAGTGATGTTCATTATTGGTAGTGCTACTAGTATTTGTATGGTGAACCTGTAACATATTTTTAAATCTCTACACTTTTATATAATTGACTCTTTCTTCAAAAGTAATTGTTTCAGAAGACTTCTAATAAAATAATCATTATTATATATGATTCTGTTAAAAATAGAAAAAACAAACAAACAAACAGAAAAAAATTCCTGCTGAAAGATATCCCCATTTTATTAGCCGTGAAAGGAAAGAAAGCTTCCAGGGAAAGATCTTGGACCATGAGAAAAAATTTCAACCAGGCTGTTTGCTGGCAAAAGGCCATGCCGGCCCCAGCCAGTCCTGCGTGCAGAGCATGTTGGCAGATGTTATTAGCTGACTTTTGCTGAAAAAGTATGGAAGAACAGTTGGAAAATCACAAGGTGTAGAACAAGCTTTAAATAAATAAATAGCTTATCTGGCAATAGAAAGGGGGAATGAAAACAAGTTCCTCAGTTGAGGAAGAGGACTGGGATACTTCTAATCACACAGTTTCTTACTGTTGGTTTGTTTCATGGGCTGACTCTCAATGAGAATTGAAATTGTATCACCCACATTTGTATTTAGAGGTTCTAACTGCAGAATTGCAATTAATTTCCAGTTTGCTGTAGGAAATTTATACTCTCTATGACAGAATACCACAGATAGAAGTGATAATTCTTTAACCTTCTCTCTTTTGTCCCCAGTCTGGTAACTGAGGCAATACATGGGGAAAGTGCTAACTGCCGATCCAGAGCTGCTGATACTTTAAAAACACTGGCCTTTACCACTAGGATGCCCCCAAGAAACAAGCAAACAGGAAAAGATGACACTTGCTAACGTGTGACGGGCACAGCAAGTAAATGTTCAACACGGACATGAAAATGTAACTTCATATTAAAAGTCAAAATGAAAAAGAAAAAAAATGCAAAATATACTTTCTCAGAAGAAACCATGACATGATCTTTAAAAGTGGTGGTTCCTTTAGCATTGTCTACTGATGGCTGGCAACATACAGGAACGTAGAGGTGGCCCATTTACATCCTCATAAAAGTGGGATGGGCCGGGCGCGGTGGCTCAAGCCTGTAATCCCAGCACTTTGGGAGGCCGAGACGGGCGGATCACGAGGTCAGGAGTTCGAGACCATCCTGGCTAACACGGTGAAACCCCGTCTCTACTAAAAAATACAAAAAACTAGCCGGGCGAGGTGGCGGGCGCCTGTAGTCCCGGCTACTCGGGAGGCTGAGGCAGGAGAATGGCGTAAAAACCCGGGAGGCAGAGCTTGCAGTGAGCTGAGATCCGGCCACTGCACTCCAGCCTGGGCGACACAGCGAGACTCCGTCTCAAAAAAAAAAAAAAAAAAAAAAGTGGGATGTAAGTGATCACAAAGCCAATAAAACTATACTACATTTTTTTCAAGTTCCAAGATAAGAATCCCTTCATCTTTCCTGAGTAGACATATTGCTAGGCAACATTTGTGAACATAAAAAAAGGTAACAAGATCTAAAAAGAACGCCAAAGCATAATGTTCATAAAGGTAGGGCCCCCAACACACACAATCATACACACACAATCATACCTATACACACACAATCATACACAATCTATTATATAAACAAACGCACACATACAGGTGCACAGACTTCAAATGGCATTTCTTGAGGTATTATTTTTTAAAGATATGATTTAAAAATGGAAGATCAACTTTAAACACACCTCTTTGAGGCACATTGCGTGATATTTGCCACACTGATTATTCTTCCCAAATTCAGGCTACTAATCAATAATCCTAACTGTATACATGCTAAAAATAAAAACGCCATAATCTTTGTACTAGTCAGGGCTCTCTTGGCACATAAAATTAGCCAACACAATCTTCAAGTCACTTGTTACAAAAATATATTAAAATATGTATCACCCTTTCAAAAATTACAATCTTATTTTCTCTTAGATTAAGACTTTATTACATTTAAAACACTTCTATGAATTATACAGGACATCCAAAAGTAAACATCCGGGACTTAAAAACAACCAATATTGTAAGACAAATTATTGCTGTAAATTATTTCATGAAGACATAATTAAAAATAAATAAATAAATAAGCAGCCGAGGCCGGTTTTGTTGAGCTTTCTTCGTTGTACAGGATCGGCAGCCCGCTGGGATCTGAACTCAGGAAGCTCTCACCTCACCCTGACTTGGTCACTGAGGAGAGGCAATTGTAGGGGTGCTTATTTGCTATAGGCTTTGAAAGTCACAAAAGCCCCGCAGATATAAGAATTCGAAGCAGTGCTCCAATGGCATCTCCAACTTGGCCGTCACCGCCCGCAACGCGCACGCAGGTAGTGGACGCCCGCCCACCTGCCCGTCCGCTGGGCGCGGGCCGCTCCACCGCGGGAGAAGGGGCGCTCCTGCCTCGGAGGGGGCGAGGACGCCCCTGTGGAAAAAAGGGGGCCCCTGCCTCGGAGGGGGCGAGGACGCCCCTGTGGAAAGAAGGGGGCCCCTGCCTCGGAGGGGGCGAGGACGCCCCTGTACAAGAAAGGGGGGCTTTTGAAGCGGTGTGGTGAGAGGACGCTTCCGAGGAAGGAAGGGGGGTGGCTCCCGCAGCGGTGCAGGGAGAGGACGCCCCTGCGGAAGGAAGGGGGCGCTCCCGCGGGGGCTGGAGAGACGCCCGCGCGGTCTCCCGGCTCCGGGGCCGCTGGTTCGCGGGCCCGCCCTCTCCCCGGCGCTATGGAAACCGCACTTTCTCCGCCAGCCGTCCCCAATCTCTTTCTCCTATTACCTCCCAAATGCGATTTCAACTTCCCGAGAAGCTGACAAGTGAATGGCGCAGAGGACGCCCCGTAAGGCGCCCGCGAGCGGGTGGGACACGGGCGCCCCCTCTGCGCCCCTCGCAGCCCCGCTGTCCTCCAGGGAAGGGCGCGCGCCGCTCTCGATCTGGAGCGCGGGGCTCGCGAACCCGCGGCCGCGGGCCCTGGAACCTCCCTGCGCTCACCGGCTGCGGGGGACCAAGACGGGGACTGGGAACGGGGAGGGGGCGCGCCCACCCCGAGCGCGGGAGCGGCCGCCCTCGCCCAGAATGGGGACCCCGCGCCCCGAGAGCAGGGCCCAGCTCGCCGCCCAGGCTTCCCCTGCGAGGCCGCAGCCCCCGCCGCCGATCCAGATCCCCCGCCCCGCCCCGCCGCGGCCCCGCCCGGCGCCCCCTCCCCGGCGGAAGCTCAAGCCCAATTAATTGAGTCCGAGGCGGGAGGGAAGGGCCCTGCGCGCCGTGGCCCGCCCCGCCCCTCCTCCGCGCCCCTTTTCCCGCCCTGGGTGGCATCTCCTCCGCCGGCATCCACAACGAGCCGCTGATTAATGAGGCCGGGGCCGCCCCCACCCCGCCCGGCCCGGCCGGGGCCTCCGCGGGAGGGGGAGGGGACGGCGGGAAACGCGGCCCGGGGAGAAAGGGGGGCGGGGCGGGGGCGCGCGGCCCGCCCCCGCGAGCGCCGCGCCGATTGGCCGAGCGCGCCGTCCGTCGGGGGGCGCGGCGCCAATGCGAGGCGGCGGGGCGGGGCGGCCGCGCCGTGTGTGCCTGCGTAACGCCGAGTCACATGTTGTTTTGCTCTTCTTAGTTCAGTCACTCGGTGCGCGATGTGTTACTCACTGTGCGGCGGGGACCGCGACGAGCCCGGGTCGCCTTTGGCAGCAGCAGCAGCAGCACCAGCAGCGGCAGCAGCCCCGGCGGCGGCGCGGACCCCGAGCGCCCGGGCGCACCCCGGCTCCCCGGAGCGCGACGCGGCGGCAGCAGCCCCGGTGCGGCCGCGCGCGCCTTAGGCTCGGCCCCGCGGCTCGGGGACCCCGACTCCCGGCCCAGTCAGCGCGTCCCCCGGCGCCGCCCGAGAGCCTGAGGAGGCAGCGGCCGCAGGCAGCCGGGGCGGGGGGCGGCCACCGCCCGCGCCGGGCATCCTTGGGAGCCCCGAAGCGCGGAGGGCGCGGCGCAGCCGAGCGGTGCTGGCCCCCGCGGGCCTCCCCGGACCTTCCCCACCGCCTGGGCCCGAGGGACGCGTGCTCGGGCGGGCGGCCGGGCGCAAGGGTGGGAGGGAGCCGCCCCCGCCCGCGCCCCCTCCGCCCCTCGCCCCAGCCCCTGGGCGCCGGGCCCGGGCGGCGCGGCCTGAAGCGCCCGGGATGGCGAGCCCGCCGCGGCACGGGCCGCCCGGGCCGGCGAGCGGAGACGGCCCCAACCTCAACAACAACAACAACAACAACAACCACAGCGTGCGCAAGTGCGGCTACCTGCGCAAGCAGAAGCACGGCCACAAGCGCTTCTTCGTGCTGCGCGGGCCCGGCACGGGCGGCGACGAGGCGACGGCGGGAGGGGGGTCGGCGCCGCAGCCGCCGCGGCTCGAGTACTACGAGAGCGAGAAAAAGTGGCGGAGCAAGGCAGGCGCGCCGAAGCGGGTGATCGCGCTCGACTGCTGCCTGAACATCAACAAGCGCGCCGACGCCAAGCACAAGTACCTGATCGCCCTCTACACCAAGGACGAGTACTTCGCCGTGGCCGCCGAGAACGAGCAGGAGCAGGAGGGCTGGTACCGCGCGCTCACCGACCTGGTCAGCGAGGGCCGCGCGGCCGCCGCAGACGCGCCCCCCACCGCCGCGCCCGCCGCGTCCTGCAGCGCCTCTCTGCCCGGCGCCCTGGGCGGCTCTGCCGGCGCCGAGGACACCTACGGGCTGGTGGCGCCCGCCACGGCCGCCTACCGCGAGGTGTGGCAGGTGAACCTGAAGCCCAAGGGTCTGGGCCAGAGCAAGAACCTGACGGGCGTGTACCGTCTGTGCCTGTCGGCGCGCACCATCGGCTTCGTGAAGCTCAACTGCGAGCAGCCGTCGGTGACGCTGCAGCTCATGAACATCCGCCGCTGCGGCCACTCGGACAGCTTCTTCTTCATCGAGGTGGGCCGCTCGGCCGTCACGGGTCCCGGCGAGCTGTGGATGCAGGCGGATGACTCGGTGGTGGCGCAGAACATACACGAGACCATCCTGGAGGCCATGAAGGCGCTCAAAGAGCTCTTCGAGTTCCGGCCACGCAGCAAGAGCCAGTCGTCGGGGTCGTCGGCCACACACCCTATCAGCGTCCCCGGCGCGCGCCGCCACCACCACCTGGTCAACCTACCCCCCAGCCAGACGGGCTTGGTGCGCCGTTCGCGCACCGACAGCCTGGCCGCCACCCCGCCGGCGGCCAAGTGCAGCTCGTGCCGGGTGCGCACCGCCAGCGAGGGCGACGGCGGCGCGGCGGCGGGGGCAGCGGCCGCGGGCGCCAGGCCAGTGTCGGTGGCTGGGAGCCCCCTGAGCCCCGGGCCGGTGCGCGCGCCCCTGAGCCGCTCGCACACCCTGAGCGGCGGCTGCGGCGGCCGCGGGAGCAAGGTGGCGCTGCTGCCGGCAGGGGGCGCGCTGCAGCACAGCCGCTCCATGTCCATGCCTGTGGCGCACTCGCCGCCCGCCGCCACCAGCCCCGGCTCCCTGTCGTCCAGCAGCGGCCACGGCTCGGGCTCCTACCCGCCGCCGCCGGGCCCGCACCCGCCCCTGCCGCACCCACTGCACCACGGCCCCGGCCAGCGGCCCTCCAGCGGCAGCGCCTCCGCCTCGGGTTCCCCCAGCGACCCCGGCTTCATGTCCCTGGACGAGTACGGCTCCAGCCCCGGCGACCTGCGCGCCTTCTGCAGCCACCGGAGCAACACGCCCGAGTCCATCGCGGAAACGCCCCCTGCGCGAGACGGCAGCGGCGGCGGTGAGTTCTACGGGTACATGACCATGGACAGGCCCCTGAGCCACTGTGGCCGCCCCTACCGCAGGGTCTCGGGAGACGCGGCCCAGGACCTGGACCGAGGGCTGCGCAAGAGGACCTACTCCCTGACCACGCCGGCCCGGCAGCGGCCGGTGCCCCAGCCCTCCTCCGCCTCTCTGGATGAGTACACCCTGATGCGGGCCACCTTCTCCGGAAGCGCAGGCCGCCTCTGCCCGTCCTGCCCCGCGTCCTCTCCCAAGGTGGCCTACCACCCCTACCCAGAGGACTACGGAGATATCGAGATCGGCTCCCACAGGAGCTCCAGCAGCAACCTGGGTGCAGACGACGGCTACATGCCCATGACGCCTGGCGCGGCCCTCGCGGGCAGTGGGAGCGGCAGCTGCAGGAGCGACGACTACATGCCCATGAGCCCTGCCAGCGTGTCCGCCCCCAAGCAGATCTTGCAGCCCAGGGCCGCCGCCGCTGCCGCCGCCACCGTGCCCCCTGCGGGGCCTGCGGGGCCAGCGCCCACCTCTGCGGCGGGCAGGACATTCCCGGCGAGCGGGGGCGGTTACAAGGCCAGCTCGCCGGCCGAGAGCTCTCCCGAGGACAGCGGGTACATGCGCATGTGGTGCGGCTCCAAGCTGTCCATGGAGCACGCGGACGGCAAGCTGCTGCTCAACGGGGACTACCTCAACGTGTCCCCCAGCGACGCGGTCACCACGGGCACCCCGCCCGACTTCTTCTCCGCAGCCCTGCACGCCGGCGGGGAGCCGCTCAGGGGCGTTCCTGGCTGCTGCTACAGCTCCTTGCCCCGCTCCTACAAGGCCCCCTACACCTGCGGTGGGGACAGCGACCAGTACGTGCTCATGAGCTCCCCCGTGGGGCGCATCCTGGAGGAGGAGCGGCTGGAGCCTCAGGCCACGCCAGGGCCCAGCCAGGCGGCCAGCGCCTTCGGGACCGGCCCCACGCAGCCCCCCCACCCCGTAGTGCCTTCGCCCGTGCGACCCAGCGGCGGCCGCCCCGAGGGCCTCCTGGGCCAGCGCGGCCGGGCTGTGCGGCCCACGCGCCTGTCCCTGGAGGGGCTGCCCAGCCTGCCCAGCATGCACGAGTACCCACTGCCGCCAGAGCCCAAGAGCCCCGGCGAGTACATCAACATCGACTTTGGCGAGCCCGGGGCCCGCCTGTCGCCGCCCGCGCCTCCCCTGCTGGCGTCAGCGGCCTCGTCCTCCTCGCTCTTGTCCGCCAGCAGCCCGGCCTCGTCGCTGGGCTCAGGCACCCCGGGCACCAGCAGCGACAGCCGGCAGCGCTCCCCGCTCTCTGACTACATGAACCTCGACTTCAGCTCCCCCAAGTCTCCCAAGCCGGGCGCCCGGAGCGGCCACCCCGTGGGCTCCTTGGACGCCCTCCTGTCCCCTGAGGCCTCCTCCCCGTATCCGCCGCTGCCCCCGCGTCCGTCCGCATCCCCGTCGTCGTCCCTGCAGCCGCCACCGCCACCACCGCCCCCCGGGGAGCTGTACCGCTTGCCCCCTGCTTCGGCCACTGCCACCGTCCAGGGCCCAGGCGCCGCCTCGTCCTCGGACACCGGAGACAATGGTGACTACACCGAGATGGCTTTCGGTGTGGCCGCCACCCCGCCGCAACCCATCGCGGCCCCCTCGAAGCCAGAAGCTGTCCGCGTGGCCAGCCCGACGTCGGGCGTGAAGAGGCTGAGCCTCATGGAGCAGGTGTCGGGGGTCGAGGCCTTCCTGCAGGCCAGCCAGCCCCCGGACCCCCACCGCGGCGCCAAGGTCATCCGCGCAGACCCACAGGGGGGCCGCCGCCGCCACAGCTCCGAGACATTCTCCTCCACCACGACGGTCACCCCCGTGTCCCCGTCGTTCGCCCACAACCCCAAGCGCCACAACTCGGCCTCCGTGGAAAATGTGTCTCTCAGGAAAAGCAGCGAGGGCGGCGTGGGCGGCGTCCCTGGAGGGGGCGACGAGCCGCCCACCTCCCCCAGACAGTTGCAGCCGGCGCCCCCCTTGGCACCGCAGGGCCGGCCTTGGACCCCGGGTCAGCCCGGGGGCTTGGTCGGTTGTCCTGGGAGCGGTGGATCACCAATGCGCAGAGAGACCTCTGCCGGCTTCCAGAATGGTCTCAACTACATCGCCATCGACGTGAGGGAGGAGCCCGGGCTGCCACCCCAGCCGCAGCCGCAGCCGCAGTCGCCGCTTCCTCAGCCGGGAGACAAGAACTCCTGGGGTCGGACCCGAAGCCTCGGGGGTCTCATCAGCGCTGTGGGCGTCGGCAGCACCGGTGGCGGGTGCGGGGGGCCAGGTCCCGGTGCCCTGCCCCCTGCCAACACCTACGCTAGCATTGACTTCTTGTCCCACCACTTGAAGGAGGCCACCATCGTGAAAGGTGAGGCCCTTTGCCTTGGCGTCTGGCGGGAAGCAGGGGTGGGGCGGTGAGGGAGCCTCTTGGGTTTCACTGCTCTCACTTCTTTGGGACCTTGACCCTGAAGCCAACAGCCTGGCTCTGGCTCCTTGTTTTGTTTTTCTGTGGGCTGCCTTGTTCTCTTCCCTCAGAGAACTTGCCAGAACACTCGTCTTTGAGTTGAATGACGTTTTCCGCGTGGGAGGGAGACTGATTTTTGAGGCCCCACCCATTCCCCTATTCTGTGCGTCCCACAGTCCCCTGTCCCTTAACACAGTGGAAGTTCTCCCAGACCGGCCACACTAGAGGCCGTGGGGCACCCGACTGTCTTCCCCTGGGTGCCTGGGTCCGTTCTTCCGGAGGACCTGCGGGTCCGGACCGCTGCCCGCAGCTGCAGTTTTCACCTTTCTCTGTGTTCCCGGAGCTGGGCTCCGCCTGATTCTTGGTGAGCTTGAAGATTCAGACCTGAAAGTCATTTAAGAAATGAGCATCCATTTTGATGGCTGTTAATAGTGACAGTTAACTATTTCCATTTTACACATAAACTGTAGGAGCTTTTCCATCGGAGGCATTGTTTTTCTCTGAAGGGTGAAACGGTAAGGCTGCACACAGCCTAATGCAGTGGTGTTCAACTTGAGCATATGTGGGAATTACCTGGCGGGCTTTGCTGAAACATGGATCTCTGGCCTGTGTTAACCCCGCAGTTTCCGATGCTGTAGCTTTGGGGCGCGGCCCGGGCTGCGCATTTCTAGTGAGTCTCCACATAATGACGATGCTGCTGGCCAGGGGACCACCCTCTGAGGACCCTGCCCCAGGTGAGACTCACTTGGGGAGGATTCAAAAATTACCTATTGGGCCTCATGCCAAGACACATTGAAGTGAAACATGAGATGTCTAGGAGGCAGGGATGGGTGTTTTTCAAACCTGTCCAGATGATTTGAATGTGCAGCCAGGATTTACAATCAGTGCTTTGGAGAAAACAGGGAAAGACAAAAAAACACAGGTCTTTTCAAGAACAATTGGATAGGAGGGTGCTGGTATTGTTCTTCGCGTTCTCATCAAATATCCGTGAGGAGACAGAGCTGGGCTGACTTTGCAGCTGGTGGTGCATTCTGGTTGTCTAAACTTTGAATGGTGTTTGGGTGGGGGAGATGAAAGGGAAAGGTGAATGTTCAAATCGGGAGACTTTATTTAATTTCGTAGCTGTTTTCTTCGTGGGGTTCCTAGCAGGATAGAGGCTTTATGGGAACAGTGAAACATATAGTAAAATTTGGATGGTGGACTAGATGTGAGCCTAAGGTGTAAACAATCTTCAAGGGTCATAAGATGAGGATCAAGGTGGGCTGGGGATTCGCAGCCTTTTGTTCTTAAATAGACCAGTTTAGTGCTATCCAAATCTAGTATCTGTTTTATAGTATACTTAGGACTGTTGGTCCATGGGATTTAAAATTATAGCTGTGGGGTGAATACCCTGTTATTCCAGTGTAAGAGAGAAAAGCTCTTTCCTTTATTAAAACCGTAGACTAGAAGATGAAAAGAGTCACAGAGAATTATTATCAGGAGTGTGGTGCTTCAGCATCCAATTAAATCATTGGAAGTTGCCAGAATGTGTCCCATGAACAGTGATTCTCAGCTGAAGGTCACTTTGGTTGGAGTTACTTATACACTATTGCTAGTGTGTCAGAAAGTTGAAGGATTAGCTGCCTTTAAGACACAGACCATTATAAACACAGCAGCAGTATAATTGAGGAGGGAAACACACACATATTTATGGTCTGCACAAATGGGTATATGCTAGTGTGAACATGAAAGTAAACTACATCTTGCCGGAATCTGATTCTAATCAGAAAACAGCCTAAGAACATAACACCTTTTCCTGCTTTCAGTGGAGCCAGTGGGACAAACCTGGAGTGGGTGGAGGTGGGGCCTCAGCAGTGGGCTCTGCCATAGCAGGGGCCATAAGCTGGAATTTGTGCCTACAGGCCTGGAGGGACTCAAGGCCTTTCTGATGAAGCTGATACATTCAGAATTGGGGTCCAAATAGGAGACAGTGCCCTTTTCAGGCTAGTGAAAATGTTGAACTCTAAGAGATAAGTTTATTTAGAGACTGGATTGAGCTTTCGTTTAAGATTTCCCACCAACATCAAATTCCTTTCAGCCATAGGATTCTCGATTGTGAAGTCCACACAGAAGCTGCGTTCTATGGCTGCTGAACAAAGATGAGAGATCATTAGGGCTGCTGTTTTTCCGAAGTTTGTGTGGGTATCATGATGAACCCTCTTCTAAGATGTAAAAGGACTCTTTTAAATCAAAATGGACAACTGCAGTCAGTCCACCATGCCAAATCACATTTTAAAAAAGGAAATATCTGCCCCACTGGGTTTCTAGTAAAGTAAGTTGAACACAGAGAACAGCAGAATAGGAAAGACTAGTGTCACCTTAGGCCACGTAGCACCAAAGTTGTGGTCTGTTGAGACAGAAAGGAAGCATTTAGGAACTTGGGATGAATATCCACTTTTATTTAACTCACACATGCACTAGAAATTTGTTTGTGATGCTCATAAATACAGAATTCACAGTAGATAAGTGTCCTTTAAGGCAATGATTTGTAGAAGGCAGACTCGCAAAGCATTTCTTTGAAGACAAGTAGAGAAAGCACTTACTAGGCGGCCCCCTGCCCTCCCTAGCTCTTAAAAGTGGCCTGTGTTTCCACCCTGAGCTCCTCCTGTTCTGCCTGGGAAGACCTCATTAGTGATGCTGATGCAGAATAATTTGGGGTTACTTGGGTAATGTTTGGCATTTGCATAAGTGAGAGCAGAGAGGTAAGGTTCCAGCCATGTCTGGCAGTTGTTCACAATAGAATTGTGAATGGGGATGGGGTTTCAATGCAAGAGCCAATTAAAACGTGTATCTCAGGTACCTCTGTTTTTATTAGTCCAGAGCAAAGTCTAAATTATGCATCTTATTTTAGGGCAAGTTAAAGTTACTTATCATGTGTTTTTGGTGTGTATGCATGTGGAAACTCCAACCAATTTGTTAGGTTTTGTTGTTTGGGAATTGGAAATACGCTACTGAATTTCCTGCGCTTTAAAACTGATTTTTACAATTAACTTTTTATGTTTTTGTGTTAGGATAGTAGATTGATGAATGCCATAAAATATGCTGTTTTAGTGTTCCTCTTTAGTGATTTTAGGGATTTTATTCTAAAATTGGCACATATATATATATATATATATATATATATATATATGTATGTATAAAACAGATTAGATCAGAATTACCACTGAAAGTATCCATATTTAAGTTTTGTTGGATACAAGGACTATCAATTCTTATCCTACGGTGAAAGAATGGTAAGAGACATGTTTCCAAAGGGACAATAAAATCACGATTTATGTTGAAAAGTTTTGCCTTTTGAAGTTGTAAAGAAGAGAATTTTCCTAAATTCAGAAATCCAGTGAGATGATTGACAAACCACACAAGCTTTCTGTTTGCTGTGGCGGGCGCTGGTTTGCTTTAGTTGGCTGGCTCTGGCCATAAGAAGATAATGGCACGCACTGCTGCTGCCCTCTTCGCAGGAGCAGACAACTAAGGTGCTAATGAAAACACACACGGGCTTTCGTGAATGAAAGTCACGTGACTTGTTCTGTTTCCTTTATTGAAAGAGAAACCTTTACAAAAATAGTACTTCATAGAAGGAAGCATAGTATGTGGAACACTAAACCAGGAATCAGGAAACCAGGTTTCTAGTTGCTGATCTTAATGAGTCATTGTGTGTCTATGGGCGAGCCACTTAATCCTTCCTTCTCACTTTCCCTGTCTGTAAAATGGGGGTAATTATAACCCTCCCCTTTCTGTGTCACAAGGCTGCTGGAAGGCAAATGAGATCATAAACATCAAGAGTGTTTTAAGCTCTTCTAAAGGAAGATGCTAATAAATCCAATTGTTGATACTTACTACTTTGAAACCATGCATGTATTCAGAAAAGACACTTTTGTAAATGGGTACTCTTACATTGAAACAAACAGTAACAGTGTAGTCTGAAAATGGAACCAGCACCTTGAAAATTGCTTACCTTTACTGCTTCATTGCTAGTTCCACTCCAGGCTCCCAAGAGCTATTGTTTTCCCCCTTTGTTTAATTTAAGATCTGTTCATAGATATTTATGAACAGATTGTAACAAAGTGGTGTTCTGAATTACATAGTAAAGTAACAATTAGGGAAAACAGTATGGTAATCCTGAAACTATATTAAGACTGAACTTCTGACTACCTTTTATGACTTGTTTATGTATTAAGAGATGTTGACAAGATGAAAATGTATAATTCGAATATACATTTTAAAAATCGCCTCTTAATGCTGAATGCATTGAAGGAAAAACAGAACACTGCGGTTGTTTGACTACTCCTTGTTTAGTCTGAGCTTTCATTCTTTGGGGTTGATTTAATTAGGATGGTCATTCCTGCAGTTTTGATGGTAGCACTGTGCTTATCAAACATAGTAGGAAAATGTGTGATTATTTTGTGTTTCTACCCCCCCAAAAGGAATCTTAGTAGAGAATTGATATTTTATTTTCTTTAGAAGTATCAGTATTAAAAATGAGGCTTTTTTTTTCTGAAGAGAAGAACTTGCAAAAGTTTTAGTAACAGCATGAGTATAATGGGTTTTCTGTTAAAATTCCCACTAATGCATTTTCTTCAGAAGCATAGTTCCAAGAGCTAGTTAATTTTGGTATCAGATTTGGCAAGTAGAAAGGGTTTTTGTTTGTTTGTTTGTTTTGGGTTTTTTCTAGGGGGAGTAGCACAGAATTAAGTGTTCCCATTTCACCTTATAAACTTAAGGGAAAATGTAACTTTATTCTTTTATCTGCATTGCCAAGTAGAGTGAGGAAAACACTGGGTGAAGCAAAGTGCTGTGCCACCCTGTCCTGCATTTGGACAGCTGTAATGCAGGTGGATTCTCTGTTTAATTTCTCTAGTATGGAT